CCTCTTCGTCGGTATGGGCTGCCGCGAAGTATGCCGTGCCCTAAAGCCTTAGGTACCTATTTTGAAAATCATCTTTCCTATCTGTCCACTTTCTCTTCTCACTCCCAAACCTTAGGAGATGAATCACGTTTGCGCCACCCATCGGATACCACTCAGTGTTCAACTAATGAGGTCAACCACTCAGAGACTATTAGATATTTAAAACCGAAATCTCCTTTTCACTAAGTCACGNTCTATCAGATTGGTCTACAAGCTGCCCTGGCTAGAACCCTAGAAAATTTCATATTAGATGTACGCTGCGTCTCCGAAACACGCATACAAGACCCCACTTCAATCATCTCCCTGCGTTCTCCTAACCCAACCTCGACCTCGCGCTTCACCCTCCGTGTGTCAGGCGATTCGGCATCCGAAGCTCGCGAGGTTGCTGGTGTCGGGATGGCGCTGAGTATCGATGCTTATTCGTCATACTGGTGTATGCACCGACCGACTGCAGCTCGCCAGAAATCAAGGATGAATTTCATAAAGGTCATTCTCAATTACTACAAAGCGTTCCATCAACGGACGTTGTAGAGGTCGCTGGAGACTTCAAAGCTCAAGTGGAACCCCTGGACAAATCAGAAAGGTTTCATGGTGGCACAAATGCAATTCCAGCCAACCGGACGGACAACGGAGAAAGCCTACTCCAATTTTGCGCAGTCTATGGACTGTTCCTGTTAAACAACTGATACCAGAAAATACACCACTTTACAGGGAAACCGCCAACTCCATCAAACCGATTAACTAAATTCATCTGTTCAAGATTAAATAGACCACGTTTTCACCCTTCGAGAAATTTTAGAACACAGACACTCCTTTCGTAGACCCACCATTTCTTTCTCCATCTGAAAACGGCTTTTGAATAGGTTGACCACCCATACTTTGGTGCTGCCTCTCTCTGAAGTGTGTGCCCGAGAAGTTTGTTTCACTTTTGCAATCTCTTTAAACTAACAGCCGAAGCCGGGTTCGAGCTTACGGTACTTTTTCGCCTGAGCTCACCACTGAAAGCGGTGTTCATCAGAGCTTCTCCCTCTCTTTCTATCCAAATTTGTCATAGGTGTAATTCTAAAAGCCGCCTTACCCTCCTTCGAGAGTTGTGGCATCGCTTTGTTCCCAGATGGCAGATTGTCTGATCCGGAGTATGCAGACGACATTAGACTGCTAAGTGAAGATCTAAAAAAGTTCCAAGCTTTTCTGGATAGTGTGAGTGTTGGTGTAGTCAAGTTCGGCATGCACTTCGCACCTTCAAAGTGTAAAGTTTCGGTAGGAGATTGGGGGTGGACAGCCTCTAACTTAACCCTTATTTGAGAAGTAAGAGACAAAGTAGACAAATTTTGCAATTCGGGTAACTATACCTCACCTGGCGGACAAGTCACAGATGAAGTGTCGGCACGTATACAGAAAGCTCGGTTGGCATGTGCCAAATTGAGATATCTGTGGCAATGTGGCAACATCCGATTGTATGTAAAGAGTTGGGTGTATGCTGCAATAGTTAGGCCGGTCCTACTCTACTGTGCACAGACTTGGCCATTACGGGAACAGGATAATAATAGACTGTCAGTGTTCGAATACCGCTATCAACGCAGCATTGCACGAGTCTGGTGGGGAAATGGACGAGCAGCGCTGAGTGTCAGGTAATGGCGATCGACCACTGGAACAAGTGGTTGTTCTCCATAGACTACGCTGGTTGGGATGTGTCGCGCATGCACAAAGCAGATTGCCACGGCGGGCGATGTTTGCCGAGTCAACCAGAGGAAGGAAAAAAGATCAAGGGTGTTCAAGCTAAGACCTGGCATGAGAGTATTAAAACCCTAACCAGGACACTCGGTCACACGGGTGCCGTTAGGCAGCCTGGGTGGGGACTTCGAGATCATGGTAACCAGTGGTTCGAGTCACTGAGTGATGTGGTTGGTTGTCGCAAACAGTGGCGCTTGAGAATCTACTCATTATTCTTGCAGCCTCAATCCATATGAATTTTCCATCTTTGGTTTGGCTCTGCTCTCAACATTCCCACCATCATTCTGCTCTTTCATCCGAATGTGCAGCCTAAAGACAACAACCAAAACCCGCGCATGACAATGCTGAGAACCGAAAACTTTTATTACACTTAGCTTTTGATAAAATTTTCTGCAATGGACGATCAAGGGCGCTATTAGGCTGTTTCGTCCATATTGGGACTCGTTAGCGGTGAGTGCTTTTTGTTTCCCTGCCGGACTGCAATAACTGAGCCTTTGGGTTTGAAGCCGAACCCTCTACTGTTGAGCTACTTCGCCACCAGTCAGCACAGAGTGGGGTCACGGCTAAATAAGTTGGATTATGTTTCGGTTAGCTATGTTTGGTAGGAGTTTATACCTTCAAACTGAAAAGTGCTGTTACTTGATTGGGTTGAACCAGCTCCCAATCTCATTTATTGAGAAAGCGATAAAGAAAATGACTAGATTTTCCTACACACACAACTATCACGGTGTGCGAAGTGTCGCCACGTATACAGAACAGGTGACCTTTATCAACTTGAGGCACCACCTATGGCACCGCCGCGACATCTGGCTGATTGTGTAGTACCGGGAGTATGATGCCATAGTCCAACCAGTTCTAACACAGTGCAGAGACATGGTCGTCAAGATAAAAGGATAAAGGCAAACCATCATTACTCAGATACCGGGTTTGGTGATACCACTGCACAATCTATGGTGAGGTCGGACAACGAGCAATTATGAGTGCTTGACTCACGTAGATTGTGGTGGTTAATGCATGTTTTATACACAAAATCGTGTAGGCTTTCGTGGAGTTCAGTGCTTGTCCAAGTAAATAGAACCTGGGAGAGAATCAAGGGCGGTCACAGTACTACCTGAACTTGAGCCATGAAAGCCCTAACGGCATTGGACTACATGGAATCGACAGACGATTAGATGAACTAATCACCATGCTCGAGACAAAATGTAAGTCGAAGGAGTTGCAAGAATTTCAGTTTGGGGGAGCAAAATCACAAATTTCAATGAGCATTTTATCAGAAGCGCCGAAATGATTACATCAAGTAGAAAGTGGAAACGAAGCAGGATTGTGTGGTGCCGAAATTATTCAAGGAAAGCAAGTGAAAGCGAGGTGTGAGCGGAGGGAACAATTTGTCACAAAAAATAGGTGCCAATGAACAAATCCATGTGGTTTTACTAGGGATTGTTGAGTTTCGCCACCATTGATTGAATCCTGATAAACGCTGCATGAACCTAGAAATAAGGCTGGTATTTTGCTAGGGGAGTCGCCGATCCCCTCATCTTTTAATCAAAGGAGCAACAGCGGTTGATCTCGTCGACAATTCACTGACCAACTCTCATACAAATTGAAACCATCGTCGGTAATGGAGAAAGCCGGCTCGCCATTTGACATTTTACTCCTATCTTAGTGTATATTGACCAACCGATCGTGATAGGCTAACCTACCGGAACTCCGTGCATTTCATCATTTCCGGTCCCAAAAGGGGGGCTGCCGAACAGTTGAACATAAAGCCTGCGGGATTTGCCACTTCTACCGTTAATCATCATTCATAGATGAAGGTGTTCACAAAACTATGTTCGCAATGATACCTCACGGAAAGTTAAAAGCAACGATGGAATGAAAAGAGCAATGAATAAAATAACCAGCAGAAAACGATACCTGAAAATGTTGTGGTAACAACTGGATCTGGAACGGTTGACCGGCGGCAGTTGCACCTCCAGCAGCACCGACAGGAAGCTGAAGAACGTACTGGATCGGAGCTGGAGTTGTATTGGCTGCGGCTGTTACCGTAGTACCTGCTTGAGTATTCGCTACAACTGTAGTTCCGGCGGAGGCAGCCACGGTTCCCTGTGGAGCTGGGACTGCTGCAAATTGAATTGTGGAACCAGGAGTGGCACCTGCAGCTTGGACTATTGTTTGACCGGGGAGAGCACTCACACTGGTAGTTGTGACCGCAGTGCTATTTGGCGTGGTTCCTGCTGCATTTGAGGTCTGCCCTTCGCTCCCACTTGCAGTTGCGATAGTACCTGCTCCACCCAAGGCGATAGTCACCGTCTGTATAGGCTGAACCCCAGCGGACGAGCCATCGGTGTTCAAAGTAGGGACCACTTGACCGGAGGCTTGATTCATTGTGAGAGACGTGCGACCATTTGCCACAAATGCAGCTGCTTGTTGTGCAACTTCTTGCTTTAAAGAAGTTACGGATTGTCCAACAATATTTCCTGTAACTACTGTGTTGTTGGATGGGGTCGCTGGGGGCTGAGTACAATGATGAGGAGAGAAACAGAAATACGAATCATAATGACTGTCGAGGAAATTCGTTATGCACATCCACGTGACTGGGACTGTGCTGCACGGTAGAAGATATTATAAACAATAAAGCTAATTTGTAAATAAATGAGGTACCGTAAAATTAAGTAAATTGTCAATGAACTTGTGTTGCTCGTCAGATAAAACTAACTTGAAGAATAAATTGCTAAACCCCAAAGTGGGTCCCGGATGATGGAAATATATGGTGCAAAAATAACGTTCCACGCGTCTCTAGTTTCTTGTGATTTATGTTGAAAGCAAATGCGTGAGATCTTGCAATTTCATTATGCTTATGCCTTATCCCATCACTGTATTGGGCTATCTACACCATTCATCATAGAAACGGGAATGAAGCACGGTCCAACGCTATATGAGTTGGGAACAGGGAGAGATAATTCTCTTCATGGACTGATATACAACTTTAAAATGGATTAATAAAATAGTTCACTAATCAAGGGAATTTATCCGAGACTCTTCAAAGGATATGAGCTGGTGTACACTAAATAAATGTGGAATAGGAATAACTTGTTTTCAGAAGGTCAAGAGGGAATTTCCATTAGCTGCAATTAACCAACGAACAATAAGTTCAAAGTTGAAGAGGTACACGCAAGTGAATATTTGTGCTCACCGTGTACAGCAAGTGCTACAAACAGCAGTACATCAGCCTCATAGAAAGATGATAGTAGTGCCCTATATATATATATATATATATATATATATATATACATATATATATATATAATACCCCTGGAAGCATACAACTGGTTTCGCGTTTCTTGCCGCTCGTCAGGCATGCATATCCGGTAATCTTTTGTCAGTTCATTCATATACTTGTACCCAG